GAAGTTTTACATTTTGAGTCCCCGTGAATACATCCACTCGAGGGACACTCCACCCACTCATTTACCCGTCACTTTATTTTCTCTGCATTTCTCTGGGGCCCTGCAATGCACCTGGAACCATGTGGGAGCAGACACAAAATCCTCCTGGGACCATTCGGGACACTCCTGAAGTCACAGCCAATGAAGCGGCGATCAGTGGGTGCAACCTGGCACCCAGGCACGCAGATCAGCACCGTATTGTGATTTGTTCCCACCAAACGCCACCATCCTCACAAACTGGCTGTTTCATAAACTCGCTCACTGGGCTGGAAGGCACGTGAACTTGCGACCACTGGACTACCGGCTCTAGTCCCTTGTTGCTCAAATGTTCTTCCCCGTACGATCAGGTAATACATGTTCAGTCCTGACCACAGCAAGGAGATGCGACGGGCTAGCAGAAGGAGAGGCAGCCAGGTGTGATCTGGCACAGGACACTGGACAGAGTCCGCACAGGTGAGAGGTAAGCCGAGGGCACCCTGTGAACAAGTCACTCCCACAGCCAGGGTGGGACAGGACCCTGGAGCCTGGGAAGTTCAGCGTGTGCTCTAGGAGGACAGGACACCAGCTTGGCTTAAGGGGAAAGTGCTTCTAAAGGAAGAGGGAGATAAGGCAGCAAAAGCCTCTGGAGAACTTTAAGCTGACGTCTGAAAGGAGAAAGTCCCAAGTCAACTACAGCTCACTACTCTCCTCTCCTCATTCAGCTATAAAATCGAGCCGGTTACTTGAAATCCAGTGACGATATGGGCAGGAGATAGATCAAATATTAACTAAATTTGGATGCTATGGCCTGCGAGGCAGAATGACATTCCTCTTAATTATTTAAAATTAAAGCACTACAGGGCTACACAAAATAATGCAGGGAAATACCCTAGCTGTCCAACGGGAGAACGCAGGTGGCAGCAGTGTGGTGATGAGGAATATAAGCTGACAGTACACTAAGATGGGGCAGAAAGGCACGTTACAAACAGTATGTTTATTAGGACATCACTAGGGGTAAAGATAAGCATGTGTGACTGCATAAAAAAACTGGAAAACACTGCTTTTGCCTTTACGTTTTCCTCTGTTTTCCAGTACATGTGCTGCTAAAGCCAGCACTGTTTTCTAACAGAAGGAAAAAAGTTATTTAGTAATAAAATAAAACTACTTCCTGTTTGTAAGCCTTTATATTTTTGCAAAGCCTTTTTATATTATCTCAGTTTTACAAATTTAATGTTTTTTTTCTTTTGGCAGGACTGGGGATAGAACCCAGGGCCTTGTTTATGCTAGGCAAATACTCTCCCACTGAGCTACACCCCCAGCGCAATTAATTGACCTTTTAACGGAACTATTACACCGTTGTTCTGCCAAAGGCCTTTATGCACTACCTACTATATACAAAATCCTGAAATCCATCTGCCTATCCTAAAAAAGACAGCTGACCTTGCCACTAACAGGAGGCTGTTCACCAATGCCTCTGCTAACAATCCCCTAACTGGTTTTGCCGCACTTCAATACAGCAAGGAGACATACATCCATTTTTATAGCCAGGCGCTTTTTACAAGGAGTTTTAAATGTGGTGTTTAAATGAATGATGCAATGCAGTAAAGTAATACAAACCATTAGTTAAACCAGGGGTCTGAACTGTATGTCCCAGGGCTTCGCTAAACTCGTTCACCTCTCTGATGCGAAGTATCCAAGGAAACGTTTTCCCAAAGTGCACCCAGCATTAGGATCCCAGGGCGAGACTACTGGCTGCTTCCCCCACCCGCCACGTTCACCCTTGGTAACGGACCCTTGTTATGAGTGGGGCTCAACAGCACCCCACAGCAGCACCTCCACTTCCCAGCCTCCTCTGAGGCACACCGCTACGCCCACGCGGCCACGTTCTGGCTCACTAATGCGAGCGGGTATGTTGTGCTGGACTTCCCGGAGGTTCACGGGAGCTGACTCAGACATCAGAAGCACCTTTTTCTTTGCTTCTGCTTTGCCTCTTCCTTCAGGCCTATATTGTTCTGGGATCAAATCGTCAGTGCTCTAGTAGTCATCTCAGACCCAAAGGTGACGGGCAGAATGTAAGAAATGGATGTACTGAAATGACGGAATAAAGGATAGAACCCTGGGGCCCTCGAGGACACTGTGGAGCTACCCCCAAATCTGCCAGACTTTGCAAAAATAAATAAATTTATACCTTGTTTTCACCACTGTTATTTTTAAGTCACTGTCAGTTCTTAGATTATGCAGTCAAACATAATGCAGATTATACATCAACGTAGGATACTATGCGCCACATCCACTTCACTACCAGTAAACAGCAAGTGACTATTTTAAGTAGGTGACCCGGATAATAAAATTTCTTTTATAAATCACTTTTCACTGAGACTTTGTAACCAACGGCTACATGTTTATCAGCGGTCACTTTCTCTTTCCCACGGAGACAGATCCCATACACACACACACACTCTTTTCTCTATTAGTTCACATTCAACTAGCATAATCCTCAGAATGTATTCTGCCCCAACATGACAGTGACCAAAAATCCAACTCTCCAGAGCCCGTAATAAAAAAAAACCAGGCCGGTGTCCCCGAGTCCACAAACCACAAAGAGGTTACTACTTGCAAACTGGACGATGGGTGAACAGAGATCTCCAAACCACACACACGACAGCGGAGTAGGAAGGACTGTCGCCAAGCTCGTGCTGGGTGTTACAATCCCCAGCAAACCTCCACCCACAGACTAACACCAAGGTGCTTCCTCAACCTACATGTAAGATGTATAGCCAAATCAACCTCAACTCCACCACATGGTCCAACGTACCACGCACATTTCTGACATCTTTTCTTTTTACTTTTGTGGTACGGGGGATGGAGCCCAGAGCCTTTTCACACTGAGCCCTGTTTATTTTTTATTTTGAGACAGGGCCTCAAGTTGCCTAGGCGGGACTTGAACCTGCAATCCTCCTGCCTCAGTCTTCTACAGTTCCGGGATTACAGATGTGCAGCAGAGGCCCTTTTATTGCCCTATGTAGAAATCCACTACAGCCACGATACAGGGTCCCTGTAACCGCACCCCCAGCCCCAGAAATCCTAAAACCCACTCCTGGATAGAGTATTGTCTTCTGGATAAAAACTGATGCTGAAGTCCTATACCTTCTTCTACAGAGAACTTTGGCAAGGGAGCTTTTTCTTCACAAGAACTTAGATTCCCGGAGATAAATCCTGTAAAAGGTAACACTCTATACACCTAGCTTGAAATTACACTCAAGTTTGAAACTTCATCAAGGAAATAATAGACATTTACAATTCTATTATCCCAGCTAGACTTTCTAAATGGGCTCAATTATGTAACGTAACAGCACTCTGCCTGGTTCCCACAGCATGATAAGGATGCTTAAAAGAAAGAAAATTTCACTTCTACCAGCACATCTGCTGCTTCTAACCCACCATCCAAAACAGTCTCTACAAAGACAGCACTCTGAAGAGGTCTCCAAAAGTGATACTGAAAGAATAGAATTTTGGATGAGGGACAAGAATAATCACATGATAGAGAGATAAAGTAATGCCATAGGAAATAACAGAAACCAGATTTTATTTTATATAACTTAAATCCTCTTATGTACCATATGTAACATACATATATAATGTTCCACACTCTTGGAAGGTGGAAGTTTTCTCTTTTTAAGGGACCAGAGCATTCAGGTAGAAGATATAAAAGTAATAAATGCTATTTTAAATTGGAAAATATATGTATGTATGTGTATATATACACATATATGCATTATAATACATATCTCTCACACAAACCTTTTAAAATAACCAGAAGGATACATCCTATGTTCTCTCTAAATGAAAACACTGTAGATCAATTCTTTTTTTTGTTTTTGCTTTTTTTCCGGTACCGGGAATCGAACTCATGACGTGGCGCTTGCTAGGCAGGCACTGTGCCACTGAGCTAAATCCCCAGCCCCACTGCAAGTCAATTCTCTCTTCTATTTATCTGTACTAAGTTTTCTAAAATAAATACTACTTAAATAACTTCAAAATTCATATTTTTCAAAATGCATTTTTAAAAGTGAACAGATGTACAATAGCATCAACAGAAAATAAGCCACATCAGCTTGGACCAAAACAAGGTCTGAAGGATTTCTGGGCCAAAGCTGAAGAATGCAGAGAGTAACGTCCCTAGGGCCCCCGCGTCCCCAAAGTCCTTCCCCCTCTCCTGCCCGCCGCCTCTTGGAGAGGAAGTCAATGTGATCCTAAGCATATCCTCTAAGCAACTGTAATCTCGCTACAGTCAGGTCAGACGACAGAGTACAAGTCATTCTACAAACGAAGCATATTCCTGTGCCTTTAGTTCAGCCCAAGGGAAACACTGAAGTCTCTGTCGACTCACTATTTAATTATATCTAACACTTCCTTTACTGTCCAGTTTATAGATTCTGTGTGTTTAATAAAGACAGTTACTTCTCAGTTGTCTGCTATTAAACATCAGGTAGTTATGGAATTAATTAGTAGCACTCCTGGGCTACCAGGAGATCTGTAACACTACCAAGCCATGCTATGCACTCCAAACTGACACCACCACCTGCTCTGGGTTCCACTTTGAATGATATGCTCCTCTTGGGGTGGTCCCTCTTCCACAGGGTACCTCCAGTTGAGGTGTTTAGGTACAAATTCAGCAGTGGTACAAGTTAGCTTCAATTGCTATCCCACAAAGAGGAAACCCCTGTGATTACAGACTTCCCTTCAGTGGGAAAATCAATGTACTTTTTAATAGAGAATATCAGAATTCCACACCACCAACCCTGCCTGCTCATGAGTTCAAAATTATCCTGAAACCCCTACAGTGCCTCATTCTTCTCCTCCTAAACCACCTTCTCCTGGCACTCAGTCCGTCCCTGCATTTCCACTCAAGGAGCAATGCTTCCCGGCATCCCCTCCTACTGACGCTGCTCCCGGCCCCCAGCCCAGCTCTGCATACTCACTGTTGCTGGACTTAAGGTCGCGGTGGATGATGGGAACAATGGCCTCATCGTGTAGGTAGTTCATCCCCCTGGCGATCTGCACAGCCCAGTTCACCAGAATGTCTGGGGGAATCCTTTTCCCAGATAACACTCTATTCAAAGGCCCTCCCCGGGCAAACTCCATGACCAAGCAGAGGTTTGGCTCCTTCAGACAAACCCCTCTAAGGGCAATGATGTTGGGGTGCTTCAGCATAGCGAAGAGCTTGGCTTCCTGGCGAACATTCTCTATGGTCTGGCTGATGTCTTCATCGGGGTCATAGCGAGCTGCTTTCACGGCAACCTCATCACCTATCCAGAAGGCGCGGTAGACCTTCCCGAAGCCCCCAATGCCAATGATCTCCTCCAGGGTGAGCTCCGCAAAATCAATTTCTAACACTGAGAAACAAGAGAGAAGAAGCGAGTCAAACACATCCCGAAAACACCACTTAACCATCCCCTTACCTGGAAGGGTGAACACAGCAAGGTGTGCACTGAGATCTTCTGTCTCCTGCTGTGAAGGAAACACAAAATGGACAGCAACTGTGATTCACTCTATTCTACTTCCACTATGCTTAGTGGTGTTGGGTACACGTTCACGAAACACCCCAGCTGGAACCCTGCCTCAGGACCAACCACTGTAACTCAAGAGGGGTCCTTTTTGAGGTTTCCTCAGCTTCACTGGGTATTTGGTGGTGAGATGCACACACTCCATGCCACAAGGCAGCTTGGGAAAAGATTTTGCAGACACATGACCCGAAGATGAGGAAAGTCACTAACTCCCCCACAGCAGGACGGCTGACAGTACGACTGGGGAAGGCAACATTTGAAACAGGCTCTAGGAAGTGAGGAGATCTTGAGATCCCAGGGAGGGCGAACCCGGGCAGGGGGCAGGACGGGAGAGTGTAGGATACCTTGGGCAATTCAGGGAATCCAGTGTGGCTGGATCTGCCTGGGGGTGGGAGATAAGGCTCAAGCCCTGGTGGAGTGTAACCAACAAGTCCTGTAGCTTTCAGGAGGGGAGTGCTGTTAGGCCTGTGACTTAGAAAGGGCACCAGCTCTGGCAGCCGTGTAGAAGAAAAGCTGAAAGACAGCGCCACAGACCAGCATGGGGGCCCTTGGTACCAGTGATCCGGGGAGAGCTGCGTCAGCCTAGGAGACGCCCAGAGCTGGCTTTCGCCAGGACTCGCAGATGCGGGTATGAGGAAGGGGCTTCGCAGGAGACATCTAACTCGAGCAGCGCCCCAGTTGGGCCCCTGATGCTCCCAGTTAACACCCCAACCATTCATTCTTCTCAAGTCTAGAGTCTGAACCAGAGGTTTCTGATTACGCTTTGGAAAGGATTTCACGGACAGAAAATAGCAGCTACCAGTGATGATAAAAGCTGGGCCAGATATGCTATTGTATGCTACGTGAGCAAAGTGCTACCGTACGCTTCTCTCATGAACCCTGTCCTCTGCCCCCTGAGTCGTCTTCTGTCTTTCCCTAGCTGCTTCAGATTCAGCCCTCAGGTCTCAATTTAGATGTCAATTTCATAGACCTCCTCCTAACACCCAGACCAAATGAAGTAAGGGTCCCCCTCAACTGAATATTTTATAGCGATTTTCCAAGGCTCAGGGAGGCTCTAATCACGTAATCCCCTGCCCAATGCCTGTTGTCCGGCTTGCCTGTGACAGCCGCAAAGGCAGAGACGCTCTGCCTTCCCGACCCCTGTACTCACCACGCCAAACATTTAGTAAGTGACCAAGGGGTCACTCACACACAATGAAAACAAAGCAAACTACCTCAACAGAAAATAAGACACATTTCAGATCTGAAAACAGAAGCGCATTGGGCCTTTGGAAACAAATACAGGAAAACATCACGCTTCATTAACAAACTAAGAAAACGAAGATGTATTTCTAGACTTTCGGCAAGACCAAAAGAGGGTCTGCCTGCTGCTGGCTGTTCCTTTCCTTCCTTGGCCAGCCCGGTACCCACGCTCCTCACTAGGGCGCTGGTGGTGCTCAAAGATCTGCTCTTGCTTAATTATAGTACCTCCGTCTGATCTGGGGCTGACATTCACTTGTTTTTTTGTTGTTTGTTTGTTTTTGTTTTGTTTTGTTTTTTTCCGGTACCAGGAACCAAACTCACCACCTTGCGCTTGCCAGGCAGGCGCTGTGCCGCTGAGCTAAAATCCCCAGCCCCCTGACATTCACTTGTATTTTGCAATGTCTACACAAAGGGAACTCTGTGGAACAGTTAGACACAGTATCTTTAGGTGCACAAAAAGCAGAGTCCATCTGAACCCAAGTTCCAACTGTTAGACAGGCTATCGTCTTGGGGCTGGGCGTACTATTCAGTGGTAGAATGTGTGTTTATCACATTCAAGGGCTCAGTCTCCAGCACGATGAAAGAAAAGGAGGGAGGGATGGCGGGGGGGG